ACTCGCCAACCATGACATTGGCTGGTGGTCGCGCTAAAATCACCAATTGCTAGGAGTTACAATTCATGGGCCATTGAGTCGAGTCCCAGTGACTGAATGCTCTACGAGCTCGCCTTGTCACCCGGAAGCTCCTCGCTTCCAAACACACTGGGTGCGCACTGCCCACCACTCCCACGCTAGCACCAAACACCTCTCCACTACTCCCTGCTTCACAATGCTCGCTTCTCTCACTCATATCAATCCGTGATCAAACTTCAAACAAATCGAATCCCTACAGACAAACTCCTGCAAATTAATCTGATGCTCGCTAGTCACTGGCTGCAGGACGACGTTGCCTGCACTTCTACTCACAAGTCGTCACCAGTGGGGTCCACTCGGTCGGCAGTGACCACAAATACTCGCCAACCATGACATTGGCTGGTGGTCGCGCTAAAATCACCAATTGCTAGGAGTTACAATTCATGGGCCATTGAGTCGAGTCCCAGTGACTGAATGCTCTACGAGCTCGCCTTGTCACCCGGAAGCTCCTCGCTTCCAAACACACTGGGTGCGCACTGCCCACCACTCCCACGCTAGCACCAAACACCTCTCCACTACTCCCTGCTTCACAATGCTCGCTTCTCTCACTCATATCAATCCGTGATCAAACTTCAAACAAATCGAATCCCTACAGACAAACTCCTGCAAATTAATCTGATGCTCGCTAGTCACTGGCTGCAGGACGACGTTGCCTGCACTTCTACTCACAAGTCGTCACCAGTGGGGTCCACTCGGTCGGCAGTGACCACAAATACTCGCCAACCATGACATTGGCTGGTGGTCGCGCTAAAATCACCAATTGCTAGGAGTTACAATTCATGGGCCATTGAGTCGAGTCCCAGTGACTGAATGCTCTACGAGCTCGCCTTGTCACCCGGAAGCTCCTCGCTTCCAAACACACTGGGTGCGCACTGCCCACCACTCCCACGCTAGCACCAAACACCTCTCCACTACTCCCTGCTTCACAATGCTCGCTTCTCTCACTCATATCAATCCGTGATCAAACTTCAAACAAATCGAATCCCTACAGACAAACTCCTGCAAATTAATCTGATGCTCGCTAGTCACTGCGGCTGCAGGACGACGTTGCCTGCACTTCTACTCACAAGTCGTCACCAGTGGGGTCCACTCGGTCGGCAGTGACCACAAATACTCGCCAACCATGACATTGGCTGGTGGTCGCGCTAAAATCACCAATTGCTAGGAGTTACAATTCATGGGCCATTGAGTCGAGTCCCAGTGACTGAATGCTCTACGAGCTCGCCTTGTCACCCGGAAGCTCCTCGCTTCCAAACACACTGGGTGCGCACTGCCCACCACTCCCACGCTAGCACCAAACACCTCTCCACTACTCCCTGCTTCACAATGCTCGCTTCTCTCACTCATATCAATCCGTGATCAAACTTCAAACAAATCGAATCCCTACAGACAAACTCCTGCAAATTAATCTGATGCTCGCTAGTCACTGGCGGCTGCAGGACGACGTTGCCTGCACTTCTACTCACAAGTCGTCACCAGTGGGGTCCACTCGGTCGGCAGTGACCACAAATACTCGCCAACCATGACATTGGCTGGTGGTCGCGCTAAAATCACCAATTGCTAGGAGTTACAATTCATGGGCCATTGAGTCGAGTCCCAGTGACTGAATGCTCTACGAGCTCGCCTTGTCACCCGGAAGCTCCTCGCTTCCAAACACACTGGGTGCGCACTGCCCACCACTCCCACGCTAGCACCAAACACCTCTCCACTACTCCCTGCTTCACAATGCTCGCTTCTCTCACTCATATCAATCCGTGATCAAACTTCAAACAAATCGAATCCCTACAGACAAACTCCTGCAAATTAATCTGATGCTCGCTAGTCACTGGCGGCTGCAGGACGACGTTGCCTGCACTTCTACTCACAAGTCGTCACCAGTGGGGTCCACTCGGTCGGCAGTGACCACAAATACTCGCCAACCATGACATTGGCTGGTGGTCGCGCTAAAATCACCAATTGCTAGGAGTTACAATTCATGGGCCATTGAGTCGAGTCCCAGTGACTGAATGCTCTACGAGCTCGCCTTGTCACCCGGAAGCTCCTCGCTTCCAAACACACTGGGTGCGCACTGCCCACCACTCCCACGCTAGCACCAAACACCTCTCCACTACTCCCTGCTTCACAATGCTCGCTTCTCTCACTCATATCAATCCGTGATCAAACTTCAAACAAATCGAATCCCTACAGACAAACTCCTGCAAATTAATCTGATGCTCGCTAGTCACTGGCTGCAGGACGACGTTGCCTGCACTTCTACTCACAAGTCGTCACCAGTGGGGTCCACTCGGTCGGCAGTGACCACAAATACTCGCCAACCATGACATTGGCTGGTGGTCGCGCTAAAATCACCAATTGCTAGGAGTTACAATTCATGGGCCATTGAGTCGAGTCCCAGTGACTGAATGCTCTACGAGCTCGCCTTGTCACCCGGAAGCTCCTCGCTTCCAAACACACTGGGTGCGCACTGCCCACCACTCCCACGCTAGCACCAAACACCTCTCCACTACTCCCTGCTTCACAATGCTCGCTTCTCTCACTCATATCAATCCGTGATCAAACTTCAAACAAATCGAATCCCTACAGACAAACTCCTGCAAATTAATCTGATGCTCGCTAGTCACTGGCTGCAGGACGACGTTGCCTGCACTTCTACTCACAAGTCGTCACCAGTGGGGTCCACTCGGTCGGCAGTGACCACAAATACTCGCCAACCATGACATTGGCTGGTGGTCGCGCTAAAATCACCAATTGCTAGGAGTTACAATTCATGGGCCATTGAGTCGAGTCCCAGTGACTGAATGCTCTACGAGCTCGCCTTGTCACCCGGAAGCTCCTCGCTTCCAAACACACTGGGTGCGCACTGCCCACCACTCCCACGCTAGCACCAAACACCTCTCCACTACTCCCTGCTTCACAATGCTCGCTTCTCTCACTCATATCAATCCGTGATCAAACTTCAAACAAATCGAATCCCTACAGACAAACTCCTGCAAATTAATCTGATGCTCGCTAGTCACTGGCTGCAGGACGACGTTGCCTGCACTTCTACTCACAAGTCGTCACCAGTGGGGTCCACTCGGTCGGCAGTGACCACAAATACTCGCCAACCATGACATTGGCTGGTGGTCGCGCTAAAATCACCAATTGCTAGGAGTTACAATTCATGGGCCATTGAGTCGAGTCCCAGTGACTGAATGCTCTACGAGCTTGCCTTGTCACCCGGAAGCTCCTCGCTTCCAAACACACTGGGTGCGCACTGCCCACCACTCCCACGCTAGCACCAAACACCTCTCCACTACTCCCTGCTTCACAATGCTCGCTTCTCTCACTCATATCAATCCGTGATCAAACTTCAAACAAATCGAATCCCTACAGACAAACTCCTGCAAATTAATCTGATGCTCGCTAGTCACTGGCGGCTGCAGGACGACGTTGCCTGCACTTCTACTCACAAGTCGTCACCAGTGGGGTCCACTCGGTCGGCAGTGACCACAAATACTCGCCAACCATGACATTGGCTGGTGGTCGCGCTAAAATCACCAATTGCTAGGAGTTACAATTCATGGGCCATTGAGTCGAGTCCCAGTGACTGAATGCTCTACGAGCTTGCCTTGTCACCCGGAAGCTCCTCGCTTCCAAACACACTGGGTGCGCACTGCCCACCACTCCCACGCTAGCACCAAACACCTCTCCACTACTCCCTGCTTCACAATGCTCGCTTCTCTCACTCATATCAATCCGTGATCAAACTTCAAACAAATCGAATCCCTACAGACAAACTCCTGCAAATTAATCTGATGCTCGCTAGTCACTGGCGGCTGCAGGACGACGTTGCCTGCACTTCTACTCACAAGTCGTCACCAGTGGGGTCCACTCGGTCGGCAGTGACGACAAATACTCGCCAACCATGACATTGGCTGGTGGTCGCGCTAAAATCACCAATTGCTAGGAGTTACAATTCATGGGCCATTGAGTCGAGTCCCAGTGACTGAATGCTCTACGAGCTTGCCTTGTCACCCGGAAGCTCCTCGCTTCCAAACACACTGGGTGCGCACTGCCCACCACTCCCACGCTAGCACCAAACACCTCTCCACTACTCCCTGCTTCCCAATGCTCGCTTCTCTCACTCATATCAATCCGTGATCAAACTTCAAACAAATCGAATCCCTACAGACAAACTCCTGCAAATTAATCTGATGCTCGCTAGTCACTGGCGGCTGCAGGACGACGTTGCCTGCACTTCTACTCACAAGTCGTCACCAGTGGGGTCCACTCGGTCGGCAGTGACGACAAATACTCGCCAACCATGACATTGGCTGGTGGTCGCGCTAAAATCACCAATTGCTAGGAGTTACAATTCATGGGCCATTGAGTCGAGTCCCAGTGACTGAATGCTCTACGAGCTTGCCTTGTCACCCGGAAGCTCCTCGCTTCCAAACACACTGGGTGCGCACTGCCCACCACTCCCACGCTAGCACCAAACACCTCTCCACTACTCCCTGCTTCCCAATGCTCGCTTCTCTCACTCATATCAATCCGTGATCAAACTTCAAACAAATCGAATCCCTACAGACAAACTCCTGCAAATTAATCTGATGCTCGCTAGTCACTGGCGGCTGCAGGACGACGTTGCCTGCACTTCTACTCACAAGTCGTCACCAGTGGGGTCCACTCGGTCGGCAGTGACGACAAATACTCGCCAACCATGACATTGGCTGGTGGTCGCGCTAAAGTCAATAATTTGAAAATATCATTACTACACGTATCTGCCACCTGTTTTGGAGCGGGGAGATGTCCGAATTCACTATGAAAAGTTTCCTCATTTGGTGGTCTATATTCAATCGACAAAATTTGGGAACAACAACATAAGTTACTAGGCTCCAACGAATCAGTGTAGTTTAATATCTAATCAATTTCAAAATGTGCCAATTTACACATATATATACATATGTACATTTAAAATGCAAATTTCATAAAAACGTTAATATCACTTATCATATACCATTATTTAATCAAAATTCAACTGCTAACAAATGCAACCTGATCAAATTCTGTGTTTGAGACCAGGAAAATCAAACTCCACACTGTTCATAGGAGAAAAAAAAATCAGTGAATCTAACCGAACAGTTTTATGCACCAAATGAGTACAACATTTATCAAATACTAAATGAAAGAAGCCAAAGCATGATGTCACTAAACATAAATGAAACTAACAAAATCCCATTGAAAGGCATTGGATACATGCACACTGTTAGCATAATTTTTCAACAATATCCATCCTCAGCATGCTTCACACATTGACTACTCAACAAACCAAAAAAAGCAATTTTTCCGAATTCTTTGGTATGGTTTCTGAACAATCCAAATTGGAATGAAACTCACCTGTTAGTTAAGCTAAAACCAAAAGTGCAAAACCGAAACTCTTAAACCTCCGAAACACATTTTACGGTTTATTTTACATTCAGTTCATATAATTCATGAGAATACTTTCTAAAATTATACAAAAGAGCAAAACATAGGAAACAAGAATACAAGGGATGAAAGTAAAATATAAAGAGAACAAGAAGTACAATATAGAAATTGCAGAGAATCAATTACTACAAAACAATCGCTAAACAGTGAAACCAAAATCCATATAATAATCACTTTAACTAAAGATTAATGTAAATGAAGAGATTTAGGCGCCTGATCGTTTGTACAAGAAATATGAGATACTATATAGAATCACAGAAGGAAATATAGAACAAATACATCGTACATAGTATGAGGGGATGAAACATGTTAGTGTTGCAAAGTGGGCTTACAGAAAGAGACTGGTAAATGCATGCAAAGCTATTTTATAGCAGTGTGAATGATACTTATTATGTAAACGGTAACAAGATTTGTCAATTACTTAAGCAATAATCGTAATGAACGTCATAATAGTAATAACAGTTATATATATATATTACAAAAATAACTTGAAAAGGTGATTGATGAATACCTTCAGGTGACTTCATTTCCATAACATTAACTTTTTATAACACTGGGAACTGCTAACTCAGATACTGACTCTTCGGGATTACACAACTGCTGAGGTCGCTCCTGTTGTTGTGGCTGATGCTGATTAGTTACACTAAACTCATTATTTCCAGACGAGACAGTTGTGTCGTCACGTTCTGATTGATCATAATAATTTTTTAAACGAACATGCCATGCTATACTAGCCACAGCTGAAACAGACTTGAATTGATGTACAACATTGCGTGGAATAAAATAGATATCATTATCACGAAGAGGTAAACGGACATAACGAAAGCCTTCTGAATGCAGTTGATTCAGTTCACCATCGTCCGCCCAAAATGAACCACACTTTTCAGTAAATAAAATAACAACAAATTTACACATGCAGTATAAAAATACACTAAATACGAATTATTAGGTGGTATGAAATATTAGAAATCAGTTAATGTCGAATAGTCTATTGGAACCCTTTATTTAGCATCTCAGTGTGCGAATATAAAATACATACGAAGTTTCTTTAAATCAAAGTTATACCATTCCACCATCTCAAGTGGTTTGTCAAACATATTAGCAAATAGTGTAAATAAACATACTTTTCCTTGCAATGAAGGGATACCTCCTTGAATCAGTTTAGTGCTTTAAAATTACTTTAATAAGGATGAAACAGGAAGACAAATTGTTGTGTTAAGTTGAAAGCGTTTCCCAAGTTAGTATCTTTTGAGTCTTAACTTATAATAACATAGAAGTTAAATACTAAGTGCGAGTTGGAAAAGACTACCAACTCTACGCTCGAATCAAGAGCCGCATATATTTCTAAGGCTGAAAAAAATTTGAGCCACCGGGAAGTCAGAAAAATGCTGCTACATTACAACACCTGATGAAGGTTCAGGAATAAACCTCCATAACAGAAATGATTATACTAAAAAGATGAAAGATTTATTGAGAGACAAACAGTTTCGAAAACTGGAGGGGAGCACAAATTTAAACAACAAAGTAGAAGATAAAATAACCAGGTGTTCGTGAAAATTGAGGGAGGGGACAGATACTTTCCACAAGTTTACATGACGAACTCATACCCACGGTCACATACACACCAAGATTATATGGCTCAGCCGTTAAGACCGATTCTAGTTAGACATGCACAATCCGTCCTATCATGCTTTAGCTAAATGGTTGTTAACTATCCTAAAACCATATGCTCCTTCTGTACATTTCACACCCTCTTCACATTTGTTAAAATTGACACTCAAATACCTTTATTCTCAATCAATAGCAATTTTAACCTTATCAAATTTCTATCCTAAAACCCTTACATGAACAGCTAGTGAAATATAGTATGAAAAATGTATTTGAATTCACGGACAGAATTGAAGATATCAATATCAAAGATGAAACTATGATATCTTTGAACGCAACGTCTCCATCTACAAATGCACCTCTAACTGAAACGATCAATTACATATGTGAACAAATAAATAACAAGCCAATAAATATCAGGATCTCAGTAGAAATCCTTAAAGAACTGTTACTAATGTGCACCATGAATATGCACATGCATTTTAGGTTGGTTGGTGGCAATGAGCTCTCCATTGGGTTACATGTTAGCATATTTATTTCCAAATAAATTAGGAAATGGTACTCAAAACAACTTTATCAAGAAATTCTCATTTTATTGCCGGTATATAAATGATAACTTGTGAAAATGATTTGGACAGGAACACAATAGTGTCTCAATTCAATGAAGTACATTCAGCTATAAAATTCACATGTTAAGAATTCCAAAATAAAATTGCCTTTCTAGACGTCCTACTGACACAAACACCAGATGGTAGTATAAGAAGGAATTTGCATGAGAAAAGTACTTGGAACGGTCAAAATACACATTTTCACAGCCTTATTTCTCTGCAGTATAAAAGAAATTTTGTAAATACCTTCAGCAATTGAAGACGAACTTAAGGTGTGTATGATAAGTTAATCAAAAACGGCTACCTTGAAAAGCTTATCATAAAATAGAGACTAGAAAAGAATTCTCCTATATTCCCTAACACAAAGATTGCATGTACACGACTGCAATTCAAAGATGATGTACCATGGGAAATAATAACCAACAATTTGGAAAAAATCGAATCAAAGTACGTTTAATGCTAGGTCCAAGAGCCATTACCTTCTGTTAAACCTATAAATTCATAAATTCTGTTGAATGTCTGCAAATATTTCTACATTGCAGAATCTGCCAGAAATTAGACATAGGGCCAGTACATTCTCCTTCGATTCCGAAGCCAATCCCTTTTGTTTCTTAAAGTTTGTTTCGCTCTAGTCAGACTTAATCTAAGTATGACTGTGGAACAAAAAACCTTAGATAGTATGATGGTAAAGCTGATCCATCTATGAATCTCATAGGAACATTTATTTCCTTTCTTAAAAACTTGCACTTTCGCCGATCTACACCAAGACGTTGGAACTATCTCAAAGTCCCACACTCTAGCTAATATGTTGTTTAACCTAGTCAGTAATTCGTCGTAACCAACTTTAAGCTCATTTGGAGTTATATCAGAAGTGGAAATCTCTAATATGGAGTTGAAAAACTGGTTTCAAGATACTGCAGGTGGTGCTTATACCACTGCATTCTCCAGTAAGTTACAAAGTCCAGAAAAAACAAATCGCCTGTCTGGTAAATGGTATAAGCAGTGTGAAGAAAACGAAAGATGGTAGGTGAGGAACAGGTGAACTTTCTGTGCTCATATTTTTCAGCAGTGGCTACTTCTGGCTACCCACACCCTGGAAGTTGGTATCTTCTTAGATTATATAAAATAATAAGTCGAAATGTAAAATTTTCGGTATTGACCTCTCCTAATCCCTACTCCACAGAGGCGGAAGATATCACAACTGGCTCGCTGATCATCCTAGAGAAACACCTCACTGCCGTTATATCCCCATCTACCACCAGTAAGACTACGCTCTGAAATCCGTACGATAGGGCACGCAACACATACTATAATGGCAACTGTTTTTTGTCTAACTGACCTTCCTGGTGCAATACGAAATGGAGTTCACTCGTCTAGAAAAGTTAGTTGGTCAATAAAGTTTAAAATCTCAGTCTTCATATAACAATGAACTGTATGAAGCAAACTCTGTTTTGTCAAGGAGTATGTGTATTGAATAGCGGTTTGTTTCGTCCTACTCTACGGCCTTGAAGATATGAAAACATAGGTCATTTTACTGCAGATGCCTTCAGCCAATTTTCGCCTTTGGGTGGAACAGTATATGTAATAATGAGGTGTCTTATAAAAGGAAGGAAAGGAAATCTACGAAGTTGTGAATTTCGATTGACTAAGATGGTTAAGATAGTCCCTACATATGCTGCACAACCGCCTTCGTAGCTGGAAAGTGTTAGCCGAAGTCACAATATGTTGGAAAAGATTAAGAGAAACGAACACTAAAACATAGTGTGGTGTGCGCTACTGATAAGATTTATCAGTAGTATATAAAGACATTCACCAACATAAAAAATATCAAGTAGCAGAGAGATAGATTTGACGTCAAAGACAGCAAATGACTCAGCGTTGAGCAACAACACGGGAGATACGAACAGAAGACAAAGAAACACAATACGAAGGGCAGAAGTAGCACAACACGAAACATCTGTGCAAATGACGATTTGGAGATAAGGTGTACATAATTTCTCAATATAGAGATACCATTCCTTCACCAAGTCCGTTACCTTTTACCATTACAATAGTACTAATGCATGAAATAAATAACTATTGGTCTGAGCCATTCAGGGTGATGTAGACTGATTGGGGTTTCTCACATGTTAAGGAGTAGTAGATGGAAACTCCTACTGATTCGGCTCAAAACCATTCAATAATGTACAGGAGTGATACTTGACATCTTTTAGATCTTACAAAGCTTCACTGACCTTCATTTGATTATCTCCTTCATCTCACCTATGTTCTTTTGTTGGTATTAAACTTTATTTGTCCCCATATTTTGAAACGTGGCAAATTAATCTGATCCAATTGTTCCCAGTTGATAAACCGGTCCTCCAGTATCAATTTCGTAACGGCTATGACTTATCAGTGAAGCATGAAATAGCACACTTTAGAGTCTGCAGAGAAGAATAATATTTCTCAGAGTTACACATATGCTGAGGCAGCCTGACTTCTTGATGAAGATCTCTTATTACCTAACGAATTAATCTGAATAGTGAGTCGTAGAATTATATTGCGCTATTTCAACTTCGTCTTACACCACACCATACTTTTTTTACCTCAAACACAACACTCACCACCGACAAAAAATATAATCAACGAAGATTAAAAGTAGGACGAGTTTTTAAGCTGAATATTTAATAAATCACAAGATAGTATGTGCTTTTGATTTCATTCATCTTTATGATTAAGATAAGTCAACCTGTTATCCGCGAATATTTCATGTTGGTTAAGTAATAATCCGTTAACTAATACGCTGTATTTTATCGAGCTGGGGTTAAATTGAAATATGACGGAATGTGGCCACATATGTCTGCCTACCATTAACACATGGTAAAAGCTGAAAAAAGTGATACACAAAAGCGATTTTAGGAGTAGTAACAAAGTAAAAAAAATATGAAAAACAAACCTGATTTGTTGGTGGCTCCATAATATCTAGCCTTAACCGTTCAATCAAATCAGCGTAATGACGCGGATCAAATACAACTACATCTTTAACTATTCTAGCAGGCTGATTTAATTTAAGAGCATATGGATTCGTGGAAGAACTTGCAACGTGATTGCCATCTTCAGAAGACGAACAGGATGACGAATGAGGAAATGAATCTTCTTCTCCAACTCGAGGGGGATATACAGCTTTGAGAAGTCCAACAGCTGCTGTGGCATGACGTGCGAGCCCATCATCTGCATGGTCCGCATGACATGGAGTTCTATCATGGACTGCTATTTGACGTCCACTAAATTTCCGGCGATCTATAACCAGGTCTGTAATGCCACAACCATCAACGACACTGATAAAACAACATAAAAACACAATTCACAGAAATGAGTTAAACAAATGTAAGAATAACCAGGAAAGAATACATATTTTTTTATGCAATTCAATAGCTCAATATGAATTTATTTCTACGAGTTGATGACGGATTGATGTCGGTTAGAGAACCATTGAAAACCAGGAAGTACTGGACAGCTGTTTCATCCTAGTTTTGGGAATCATCGGTAGTACGCACCCACCACAGTGGATTTCGAACCCAGGACCTTTCGGTTACAAGGCAAGCTCGTATACCCTTCAGCCACTGGGACCCCAACCAATGGCAGAAGTTAGAATTCATGAGCCATTGAATCGGGTCCCAGTGGCTGAATGGTATACGAGCTTGCCTTGTAACCGGAAGGTCCTGGGTTCGAACCCCACTGTGGTGGGTGCGTACTACCGATGATTCCCAAAACTAGGATGAAACAGCTGTCCATTACTCCCTGGTTTTCAATGGTTCTCTAACTGATATCAATCCATCATCAACTCGTAAAAAGAAAACTAACCCTTACATACCAACTATAGAAAATGAGTTTATTTACTAAGCCAAGAGTTGCATTTGATGTGTAAGGGTTTATAATAATGCCAGTCTCCCAGGTCGAAGTAATTAATAGGTGTGGTACAATCGGGGGATCAAAGTCAAAAGTCAGTGAACTAAATCCTCACACCAGACACGAAGAAAAAAATGTTTTAGACGTCTGGACAGTATCCAAGCTCCCAGACAAACCACTCGATAATAATTACCTGAAGATCTTAACCCAACTCAACACCCACAGTTAAAGCCATTCGATCTAGTTAGTGTCACTGTTTTACTAAGCACTAGGTTGGATTTGCACTATTCGACTAGACGACATTTATATGCTGTTAAACTGAAGGGTTAAGTTAGAGTAAAGGATAAATGGTAGAAAACATGATGTCTTTTTGTCATTTCTGCAAATAGAGTTTACCATCAACTGAACGACTGCAGTCAAACATATTAGACAATCACCATAGTGACAGCTGAGAACTTTGATGCACAGCTCAAGAGTTTCAGCTCAAAAGAGATTTATTTTCATTATCAGTGGAATAGCAGGTAGAAATTGTTTCGTCATTCTAATATGAGGCTGATGTACCAATTCTCAAAATCATGAAGATATTAACCTCAGCAAAATATTATCTGCTATAGCAACTCCAAAACTTTGAAAATGTAAAAGATGATTCATGAAAAACGTGTTTGGTTTCCTCAAGTTGTGGATACACCATCTGTTCACCCTCCACTAATTGTAAGGATTCGATGCTTCAGTCACTTTAGATTCAAACCATAAAATTGTTTTTTGAGTTCGTCCACCACAGATGTGTGTGTTTTAAAGGTATATCAGGGAATCTGAAAAACCCTTTGCGAAACATCCAAAGTAGAATTAGGACAAAATCGCATATCAGTAAGATTCCAAACCAGCAACCAATTTAGTTAAGACCTTCAGGCTTCAATATTCTTTAACTATGCCTCTGACAGTACTCTGGAAACATCTTTGAAGGTGTGTGATTTTGGTCTGGTACCATTCAGAAGATTTCTGAGCAGTGGGTATACAGACGACACCTACTCGATAAAATACGGGTCATTAAAATCGATCTCAAAAGATTAGCGATCATATCTTACGTATGCAGTATGCACTTAGTACCATCTAAGTTGAAATTAATTTTCAAAATTAGGACGCACCTGTGACCGCATCCCCTAACAGTATTCAAAAACTCATGTATTAAGGCAGCATTGTCGATATTGGTGATGTGATATATGAAATTCCAAATCATGTATAGGAAGTTAATACTGATCACCTTTAGACCCGTCAAGAAAATAACCTGGTCAACTTTAAAACACTTGCTGGGTACAGTTTTACTGTACCTGTGAAATCCGATCTCTTTGAGTTAAGAAATTTGAGCAATTTTGTGTTTTTTCACTGTTCACTGTCTGCAAAAAGTTGTCGTATCTAGTAGTCATAAACACTTAAGTTCTCCTGAGGTCCGATAGTGTGCTCAGACTAGACGCTGATCGTATTTCAGTAAAACACCAACTTAGAATTCTGATATCTGTGGATCGGACATGTGTTAAGAACGTCCTCCCAGAGAATTGTATACCACTCACTGTTTTCTCCAGATAAATAGATACCAGAATATTGTGTGGATTAGATATGTCTCAAGTAAAATAAATGGCAACCGCTTTACACCATTGTTGCTTTTTCCACTAAACAAAGTAACAGAAATTGATGAATGATTCCTTGATTACAATCAGTGAACATGCCCACCTGTTAATTCCATTATCTGATGAATGACTTTACTCACCTTTCCATTTAGTCATTACTGTTTGTACCACATTCTCTGGCTTCCCACACCCCTACGACCGATAGCTGCTATCTTGTCATGGTAGTTGGGCTAGGCATATCGCGATGAATCAACGAGCTATACTGGCAGGGACCGATACTCCTAAAGGTCCTACCACGCCAAAAATGTCGTTCGGATAGCAGTTAACCCAAAAGCAGTTGCCATAACAGTGTAAGTCGTCTAAACTGTGTTAGGGGTTTGTGGGTGAAATCGTACTGCTGGCAAATAAGCATGTAACAGCTGTACGATATTTCCCTCCGATGACACGAAATTCAGTTATACTCCCTCTCCACTTTGCGGAGGCGAGGTAAAAAACTACCACCCTGAAAATTTCACACCCCCACTTGCCTTGCGGTGGTCCGTAGCTGAACGTAACTCCGAAAACCGCCAACTGTCACCTGGGCTCTACGGCCACGCAATACTAATGACCCTTTACAAACTCTTATTAACTAGAACTCTGGCATCTCGATTAGTGGATTTATGTTATATTTCGGACACGCATACATGACTGAAGTGTGGCTGTGCGTTGGTGGCACAGCGGTTAGGACTCATTCATGATAAGCGAAACAATCTCTGAGAAAAATGGCACCATAATTAGCTCCCAGGATAGACGTCTGGAGCGCTGGAAAGAACACTATGAGGAGCAGTTTAATTGGCCCACAGCCACACTTAACCTGCCGGACATCCAACACCTCCCTGAATGGGATATAGACATAGGTCCTCCGTCCTTAACTGAGGTTACTAAAGCTGTCACTAATCTGAAGCAAGGCAAAGCAGCGGGACCTGATGGATTGGCTCCAGAGGTATTTAAGTACGGTGGAGACAGTTTACTGTCTGCATTAACTGAGGTTCTAGGCACCGTCTGGGAATCAGAGGAAGTCCCATCGGGTTGGTGTAAGTCACTGATCATCCCGATATACAAGAAGGGAGACAAGTCTTCTTGTGATAATCACAGAGGGATTAGCTTGACTAATATAGTATCTAAAATCCTAGGCTCAATAATACTGCGCAGACTAAGTGGTGCTCGGGAGACACAAACACGAGAAAACCAGGCAGGTTTTAGGCCAGGTAGAGGGTGTTTTGATCATATCTTCACCCTTCGACAGATTCTAGAACATAGGCATTCCTACCGGCGTCCGACAATCATTATATTTCTTGACCTAAAGGCGGCATTCGATTCTGTCGACCGGGAGGTTCTCTGGCGATGCTTGGCTGTAAAGGGGATGCCGAGTAAATACATTGCACTGATTAAGGCACTCTACTCGTACTCATGCAGCCAGGTAAGAGCTTCCGGCGAGTTGTCATCTGAAGTGGTGACAACTAGTGGTGTCCGTCAAGGATGCCCATTATCCCCATTCCTATTCAACTTCATCATAGACGTACTAATGGACTTAACCCTAACACACTTCAGCGACTGAGGGATTGACTTGCTACCAGGGAATAATCTCGTTGACTTAGAATATGCGGACGATATGGTCCTTCTAGGCAAGGACTCTGACAAAATGCAGAGTCTACTGAACACCTTGAGCAACAATCTTCGTATGTTCGGCATGCGATTCGCCCCTGTAAAATGTAAGATGATGCTGCAGGATTGGACTTCACCGACCCCTAGATTAGAAATAGGAAGTGAAGTGGTAGAGCACGTTGACCGCTTCAATTACTTGGGAAGTACCATCAGCCCCAACGGGTTGATCTCAGACGAAATTTCAGCACGAATACAGAGGGCTAGGTTCGCATACGCCAGTTTACGCCGTCTCTGGCGTAGACGTGATATCCGACTATCGACCAAAGGGCGTGTGTACTGCTCAACAGTCCGCTCCGTCCTCCTTTATGGCTGTGAGACCTGGCCATTGAGAGCAGAAGACATGAAAAGATTAGCTGTGTTCGATCATAGGTGTCTGCATTCTATCTCCCGCGTGAAGTGGTATAATAAGGTGAGCAATATTGAGGTTAGGCGTCGAGTGCTAGGTAAGGCGGGGAAATCAATAGACGAGACTGTGAAATTACATCGACTGAGATGGTTAGGACATGTGCTACGTATGCCTAGTCATCGCCTTCCTCGACGGGCAATGTTAGCTGATATAGGGCCAGGCTGGAAAAGAGCTAACGGCGGTCAAACGAAAACATGGCACCAGTCAATGAAATCTACAACAGTTACTCTAAGCCACGTAGGAAGGTGTAGACTTCCTGGTTGGGGTCCTCGGGACGGTGAAAACCAATGCTTGGAAACGATTGGTGACATGGCTCAAAATCGTTCTCAGTGGCGCAGATGCGTCCACTCCTTGTGACTTATGATTTCCGATGAAACTGTTTTGTTCCTCTTTATTACTATTCCTTTGTCTCACGCCTCTGTTTACTGTCTATATTATGCATTTCTTCTACTTTCTTCTCTTGCTTTGTGTGCTACAATCAGGGAGTGTGGCGACTTGAACTGCCGCACATATGTGCAAAGTTCTATGTCGAAAACCGACCGACCGACCAGTTAGGACTCTCGCCGATCAAGCATATGGTCCGGGGGACGATCACCTGCCGACGCACACCTGATATCAATGGTTGGCCTGCAAAATTTCGGCTGCCGGTATCACATGCTGAAAATTCCATACTTGTACCAAAAATACGGTGTGGAGTCAAGCTATAATCAAAATAATTTACTTAACACCACCAGGCTACCGATGAATCTGCGAAATTTGCATTACGAGTGTCAGATTCTTTGACTAGTTTGTGAGAACTTTCAGGTGTTGGGATAGCATTGAGTGCAAGGGGGAAAAATTCACACTTCAAAAGACCCCAATGGATAGTGTATGCGCGCCATACAACTGAATGGATCTGTTAGAAGGATAGATTAAGAAACACGTCGATTTCTCTCCATAATCTCCGCTTACATCCCTACCAAATGTAGTTCGGATGAAGTTAAGGATGAATTCTATCAAGAGCTATCATCAAGTCAACATTGGACTCAAATAGATTACATAGCGATAAGCTGTCAATGGAGAGGGTCGGTAAAAGACTCGCTCCCCCTAGAACACCTGCGTAGACTTCGACCACACTTTAGTCCATGTGCATATATGGATACGACTGATAGACATATATAACAGAACACTATGAAGCCTCCAAAGTGATAAGAACACTCAGTCTATATCTAAGGAAGAAACAGATAAACGCGAATCCGAAACTGGCAGTAAGACTCATCCTTTGGACACCTAGTATATTATTTTTTTACATTTTTGATTACAGCTTGATTCCACACCGTATTTTTGGTACAAGTATGGAATTTTCAGCATGTGATATCGGTAGCCCAAATTTTGCAGGCCGACCGTAGATATGAGGTGTGCGTCGGCAGGTGATCGAACTCCGGACCATATGCTTGATCGGCGAGAGTCATAACCGCTGTGCCACCGACGCACAAATGTAGAAATGATGGCGAAGGCTGTTGATTACACGAAACCAAAAGTTAGTAAATGGCAGTGGATTTCTGCCGCCTTATTTAAACTGATACATACAAGAAGGTTGATTCCGGTGGCTCCAAACAAGACCAAGAGTAAAGCTGCTCATACTCAAACTGATAAAAGTCTCCGAAACAAACGTCAACAGTGGTGAGCAACAAAAGCCAAAGAGATGAAAAAGATATCGGCAGTAGGTAATACTAAATAACTATTCTCATTCCCATCCTTCTTTACATTTTCACTATATGGCTTTATTCAGTACAACTCTTCAATTCTTAACTCTTGCAAAAACCATGGGGCAAACACACTCACATAAGGGCTGATATCAGTGTCATATTTCACACCAACACAAAGGTGAATGTCAACGAGACAAAATAACAAAAACAGTAGTCAGGAAAATTCACAAGACGAAGAGAAAATAGATAAAGAAAACACATACAAATGGTGAATGTATTTGCACCACTACAAGTGATTTTAAACCAGCACACGTCTAATCATATAATTTCACAATCTCACATCTGAAACAGCCAAAATATAGGCCTTTAGATAGCAGTTAAAGACTTGACACTTCTTCCGTCTTCATCTGTTCAGCCATTCCTAACACTGCCCTGGAAAATACTGCATTTGAACGAATAAGGTAGATTGTAGTACTATTCCTTCTCTACTAAAAGCACACCGCTAAAGGTATCTTTTAACAATAAATATTCAAATGCTGTGCCTCAATAAACAAAAGGGCTTGACAGTTAAGGTTCTAACAAATGGATGTCACTTTGTGAGATAGATGCAACAACTCATTTACTAGACTCCACTTAATTAGTAGTGATTCCGTGAAATTCACACTGAGCATTAATGAATTCATTGTTTAGTCCCAAAAATGTAAATGAGTAAGTGATTCCGACTACAGAATTAGTAGTTTCATCCCTAAGAGAGCGTCAACTAATCTTGAGCTGTTAATCAGTGAAGGTGTCCGTATATTTCGTGAAATATGCTACTTATCTTAGGTTAAATTAGACTATACACTCGTTGAAACTGAGACTACTGCAAACGAAACAAATATACCAAATGGTTCACGTTTAGAAGTGGTTACACTGACTAAAATAGCAAGTGAATAGTGTAAATAATATTAAATTTTCGCAGTTAGCAACAGTACAGTAAGTCACCAAAAATTTTAAAAATGGTGATAGTGATACGTGACCGTAGAAGCACTTTCTGTACATACACCCGGACTTCGTTGGACAGAGAAGTCTCAGACCAAAAGAAAACTGTTAATAGTGGTCTTAAGTGGAACATTTCGATGATTAAAATGAATTTTTACAACTGAGCAACAATTCAGCGTGACTGTTACGCACACTCAAAAAAAGTTAGTATTAAAACGTAAAAAATGTGGATATAGAGCAAGTACTTACCGTCTTTTGCTACGTAAAGAAGTTGAAAACAATGGGATAGTCTGCTCTCCGTGGCGAGCCCACAGAATAGGACCATCGTTACTTTCCCGAGGATCCATGCCGCTCAAACTTGACAAAACGCCCCACGGTGTAACCATTTTTAAGAAAGGGTCTTCTTCAATCATCTCAATAAGTGTCTTGTCAAAAAATCCACGTTCTTCCCCTTTAACACCCACAATGCTCAATGCATGTAGTGGTCCGAAGCGATAAATGCCGTTTGCGTAAGTCTTGTGAACGTTTTTCACATACTGTACAAGGTTCATGGTTTCATTTGCATTCTTCTGCTCAAGTGGATTTGTAGAAACAGTGAGGTTGGGATATGCAGAAGATAAATATGATAATAATTCTGGTATTCGTCTTGCTGCACCATGAACAACACCAATGCAGTAGTGCGAAAAAGGAACACGAATGCCGCGCTTTCTTCGTTCAGTAAACAGTGTTTTAAAATATTTCCGAGCCAACATATTTAACTCGTCTGTTGTAAGATGAACTAATTCATCGGCATACGAATGCAAAGCGTAGCCACCACCATTCGCGTGATGTTCGACATAAATCATATCATATAAATGTCGCCTAGGTGGACGAGGTACTTTAAGGCTATTGGAAAGACGAATAATATGCCCCAATGAGTCATGAGAGTTAGGAGAAACTATTGGGTGAGACCGCAATCTGCTACTATTCCCCGCGTTATCTACTGCTGCCTTGTGACGTCTCTTATTGTTTACTTGTCCTTTACATTTGAAGTTAGGATCTCTCTGTGTATCTAAGGCTTGAGTCCTCATCCCAACATAGTAAGACTGACGCGCTACGCCAAATTTTCCAAATACCCGCGTGTCACCTTGAAAAAATGTTAGAGAATGTATGGCTAAGTGGAAAGTCTCACACCTACACTTGTAACTCCAAAATGCAGTATGATAATAAACACCGTCACAGCGCCTCACCCACACTGAGAAGCTTAAAGTTAATAGGAACAGTTCCCATCTGCAACCAAGTCTACTTCACTTTCTGTGGAAAGTTTTGAGCGGAAGCTGGATGCTGATGCAGCAACACGAGGACTATGTCCAAATGGATTGAACCTAGGACGAAATGAGATGTAACCACCATGTACCGCACTCTGTCAATGGGTCTCAACTAAACTTGTCCTCGCCATCTCCCAGTCTCCCGTTTCTTCCTCTACTCTGCCTATTCATCCATCTACTCTTTAATTACGCAACTATTTTTTGTTCATTTGAAGTTTACATATTCACCACTAATTATATTATTAGTGTTATTACTATTATTGCCACTACTATCATCCAGCATTCCGACCGCATCGGACGATAAACAGGTGAAAAGATTAACTGCAGACACAGCAGCTCCACGGCCTTGACACACCGTATGCCGCAAATCACAAATGACCAAACTCTCATACCACTCCTTTTGACGTCAAAGTAAACCACGGAAGCTGGTGGAACCAACTATGCAGATACTTACTCAAGATAAGGAACCTTTGCATTACATCCAAGAAGTGACCACAAGGGAAATCGATTCAGTTAACACAATGATGCAAAAAGGATTTTGCAGCTGATGGAAGATATCAGTAGGATGAAGGCGAGCACCCAGATAAAACATGTTCAGAACCACTGTGTCACAGAATCACAACATACCCTTCTGAGATGACAGAATAGGCATTATCTCCTTTAATACTCAGTATCGTTTTTACGTGCTAGTTTAAATCACTTCGATTTCTTTGTTCTCTCCTCTTGATTGTTAAGTAAAAATTGCTGATCTTCGATAAATTTCTGTGTAGTGTATCCTGCCACTCGAATATCTTGTCTGTGGTTGACTCCAAGACAAGTGGTGCTAGGATTAAGTTTATATGGTTGGTTATATGCTGTGTGTTAGGGCCACATAGCTTCTGTGAATGGAGTTGTTCCTCTCACACGCTGGTCGTGTAGTATGGTCAAAAGGCAGACAGTATTAATAATATAGTGTGCATCGTGCAGACTATGAATGGAATCGTGCAAACAGAGAGTGAAATGTGATAATTAAAAAATGAAAACAATTAAAATAATAATAAGACAAGTAAATCATTAGGTGGAGTAGTCAGAATAGTGAGACAAGGAAGAACTCTTAGCGAGAAGGGACGAATTTATATGCATGCCAGTTAATAGTATGGCATGTAAATTTTAAGAAGATAGACCGTCTGAACGCATTCCTTGTGTCGCCGCAAAACTATCCAGCCTCCACTTACAACTTCTCATGGGGAGCGCAGTAGCCACAGCTGTTGGCGAAAGTCCCAAGGGCGACAGACTTGAAGAGAAGAGGAATGGGTGCCTACTCGAGTCCTTGCCTCCTTATAAGCAGAATGCCTTTGTTTAGATGAATCTGGTCATTTGTAGCAATGCGAGAAGCGACTGGGTAACCTCACAGTCTATGGCATCTGGGCATGAAAATATCTAATTCCTCGAGCCATCCTTCATACTGTTTATTCTGGAGACCTATCAACCCTTCTGTCTCCCGTCACTGGACCCTTTCCAAGAGATTGACATCTGATCTAAGTAAAGGCGGAGCGACGATATTACGCACTTCAGGGGTCCGTCTTGCCTATGTCTTGCTGAAACATAGGAAAAGTTCAGGAGTGACTGCGCTGAACTCTCTATGCGTAAGGTGTATAATTGCATATACCCTCGCCACATCACCAGTGTAGTGCACCCTTGTATCCAGCTTTTCCATCAGAATGAACCCCAAGTTGCGCTCTCACATTAAACAGGTAGTAACTTACATTCTGCATGTTATAGGTGAGTAGCTGCACTGGTTTGAGTTCTTTCAGGTTTGAGGTCATGCCACCATCTAGCTATTAGTCTTCCAGAAATTTCAGGTTTCTGTGCAGTCTACCTGAGTCTTCCTACTACTGTGCTCCTAAATAATTACGCCGTTTGCGTAAAGAAAAGCTGGACAATTTGGATGACATGGTAGATTATTGATAAACATTAAGCGCTCTCGGACAGGGACCCATAAAATTCCTGATGCCGGGCTGTACCAGTGTGGTCGGACACGACTGAGTGTGGTGCAGGATTCTCTTCTATTTAAGTGGTTCCCCAACTGTGCAAGGAGCCGGCCACAAATATCTGTCTTACTTATTTTGTGAAAGGAAACGTCAAAATGGCCTTTCCTAAATGCCTTCGCAAAGTTAAGGAATGACTTATAGACAGCAACATTCATATCTAGACGTGATGCCCAACCATTCCAAGCAGATAATAGACTTGTCACACACGATCTACTTCTCCGGAAACCATGTTGCACTTCATGGAGTACGTTGGTCTTGTAGAGGTATTGCCTGATATGAACATAAAACTTCCAAGTACCCTCGATACCATGAACAGTAGCGCTACTGGTCTGTAACTTGTTGCGTTTCACTCATCCACATCCTTGGAGATAGGAGAAACTACAGCTTTCTTCCACTTCTTTATCAGTTCCTCTGAATCAATGAATTGTTGAAATGGGTGACATAATGACTTGCAGATAGCCTCTGTTCACTGTTACACAGCAGTCTGTTGAATGCCATCGAAACTTGGGGTATTTTCATAGGTGAGATCATGCAACTTCACCAGTACCATTATGGGGCTGTTTGGAATGTCGCCACTAGGTCTTTGCCTGGCGATTTAGCATCACGATCCTTATGGCTCATAGCATTAACACAAACGGAGCTTTCTAGTCACCTGTCAAAGGTTGAACTGAACGTCTCGGCGACTTCCAAACTAATGAAATAATGCCCATTTGGACCTGCTAATATGCATAACCCCTAGTTGGCAGGTTCTACTTCTGACATGAACCGGTACAAGCTTTGGGGGGTTTCCGAAGAGTTTTCCGGAAAGTTTTGCTTAAAATAACCTCCTGTCATAGCGAACTCTTCTATTGCACCGGTTCCCGAATTCCAGTCTGACTGTTGGAAGTTAACCATGTAAACATGTAACCATGTTAACTGCTTTGCTTGAAGAATGCGCCGTGTGCGCTCCTTCGATCATAACTATTGCTTCCTAGGTTGTAGAATGACTGAAGGGACAGTCTCTGAGACTGCTGTGTGAACGATTTCCACAACAATTTCCTAGTGTTCCCCTGCTGATATCTGAACCAAATTTATGAGCCATTACAGGTCAAACAGAAGTCTCGCATTTCGTTGTGGTCGGTTTCGCCATATCACGGGCAGAGTCACATAGCATCCCATTGTAAGTGCTCTCAAAGAACCGAGTCAAACACAATGGCCACGTGGTTACCGCTATTTAGTAGGGTTGTAGGACCTACACAACACTATAATAATAATAGTATATTCTCATTTTTGTACATGAGGGACGCCAGTTTACAGGCATCATCAATTCGATAAATTACACATACGAATAGTAAGTATAGTCAGTAATGATGATATAATAAGGTACATAATTATTCCTACAAATGCAGGACACACAAGTTGTAAAGGCATGGTTAAGTATTATTTAAGTTACATATTTAAATTACATGATTTACGGTTAAATAACATGGTTGCTGTCATTTTATCTTCAGTTTGTGGGAAAATCTGATAACTGGTGATTCAATGGAACACATCAAGAAATATTGAGATCGTGACTTCGCATTAACAAAAAAACCAAGTATGCGTTGGGTGGATTGCATGTGGTTGATGATTCGGGAAGACATAAGGACGAGACAAGCAGCCAATTAAGAACTGTATCTTCTTTATAATTTGCAAGGTCGTTTTACTGGCCCTTCCGCAGTTTTTGCGACATGCAGCAGACGCTCAGGATCCCAACTACTCTCTTGAGCAGTTAGAGGGCATTGCAGACCCAATAATGGGGAGGAGACGCCTCAATGAATGGCAAGTGAATTATGCGAGTAGGTGGGATGACCCAGTAATCTCAGAGCTCGTGGCCAACGTCGGATCACTAGCGAAAACGCTAACACAATTACAGTTAACACAAAGCAGTTGCTCTAGGTTTCCTAAAAGACAACGTTTTAGGTTGCGAAGCAGATAGAAACGAACCAGATCAACAGGGAAATTATTTTGTTGCCACCGTGGCCCGAATCATCGAAAAAGCAACAGAGGAACTAGTAGGCCCTTCTCAACTAGCGACTGTTGTTAATCGCGACAGATAGATAGACTGTATGATAAACAGCCAATCAATATTATGTGACCTTTCTTGTCGCGATTATTGGCCAATTTATTGTAACTCTCACCACGTGATGACCTTGAATGTTCTTTTTTGTCTGTCACTTTACTTGTATATACATGTAATTAATTGACTGTTCATTTTGTCCGTACCTTCAATACTGTTCGGTACGTTTTTGTCCTATTTTTGTAATGACAATGGATTTGTACAATTTTCTTGGTGTAATTTATGATTTATTTTATGTTTTAGAAACAGATAAAGTTAAGTCAAGTCATCCTGTTTTTAACTATAGCTAAGCCGAGACTCTGTATCGTCAGTATTGAGGTAGGACTAAATCTGTAGGACAAAAATAATCCTACAACTGTTGTCCACCAGACTTGTCCTCGGTCTCATACTACTGTTAAAGCACTATGGCCTGTTCCTCCCAGGAGGTGAACTTCAGACCTAGTAGCCGCGTTGAGCTTATTGATGTGAAGTGAGTGGAACGAGGTAGTCAATATATCGAGGCTGCCCTGGAAACACAAAGGGCAATCTGGAATCATAGCTATATCAACTGCTTACACCAAGGTCACTGCAAGCAGTGCCAGCTCTCAGCCACGGAACACTGTGTATGACCATGGAAGTGGAGATAATTACTTTGGGTGACTGCCTCGTCACTTGTCTATCCCCATAGACAATTAGGTGTTACTTGTATGATAAAAATACACAACAGCAAGAAAAAAGGACAGTAATCAAAATCTCTAGGGCGATTCAGCAGATATCAATATCAAAATTGTGA